CGCCCTCTTCACTTTGCGATTGCAATCGCGAATGAAGAGGGCGCCCAATGCAAATTCATAATCAACGGCACTCACCACTCGCTCCTGCTTTGCGATTGCAATCGCGAATGAAGAGGGCGCCCAATGCAAATCATAATCAACGGCACTCACCACTCGCTCCTGCGATCACGATTGCAATCGCGAAGTCCGGCACCTATGTAGCACTCAAAAATGGTAGCTGTGAAGCATTCTGATTAAAATTGCGTTGACTTTGGATAGTTGTGTTGGACCAGTATCACCATTTATCTATCAAGAAAATTTTTGCATTTGTACCGCACATTGGTCTTCTGAACATAAAACTTTCAACTTACGTGGATACTTTGGGCCAAGGCCGCTTTCCAAGATTTGGGTCTCGCCCTGACTCCGCATCTCTTGAAGTGGTGCTGATGATCTAAATGAAGAGAAGGTTGCGTGCCTTTTTGCTAGCCCTGATTGGCTGATTTCGCTTCAGCGATGGCGCTTAGCTTTAATTCTGCCATTCTTTTTTCTCCGGAGAGTAGAGTTGGATCTCCTGTCCAAAGTATTATCACATTCCTATCACGATTTCTATCATGCTTGATATCTTTGTTTTTGATGACAACTGACATAAGTTGGAAACCATCTAGATCATCAATTCTACAAATCCTCATTCTAGAAATATTTACAAATGTGAAATTGTTATAACAATGGAAAATCTGAATGAATCGTTGAATAGGTAATTTTAATCATGTTGTCCTGCTCAGGTGCAGCTTTCAAAGTGAGTCTTACCAAAACCACTTCATTGAGGCAGGGGTATGTTAGTGGAAACGACCCTACCACCACTGATGAAGCATTATTTTCATTTTCTGCTGTAAGATCGCAATACACTTCAGTTTATTTAGTTGCAACGAAAGACGGAACGGGGACACTTTCTTGCTTTTTTTGTCTCGGATAAAGAGGACGAAACATAGAGCATCTTATTAGTTATGCTTTTTACAGGTACAATTTGTCCAGTGGAATCCATGTTCGGATTTATTAGCGTTGGCTTCGCGAAAGGGCGAAGTAATGGTCAAAAGAAATATGTGGAAGCGATGTTGGAAGGTAGCACTCCTCCATTTGTTTTATATTACTCTTTATTTGACCATGATCCCCATTATTGAATGGGTTAGCGAGCGGAGGCGGTTTATACCATAAGAATATAAAGCGCGCGATAGCTTATGTTCATTGTGATTGCTCATGATCATGGTGGCTAATCAATTCATGGCAACTAGATGCATGCTTGCTATTCCAATAATAGTTGCGTCACTGAGATTGTGAGTGTTGTTAAGGCAGGTGGCAGACTGTGCCTCAATAATCGCGCGATTCGCTACGAGTGATTCGACGGCGGTTCCAGCCATGCCTCAGCCATTAGTTGATAGCGTATTGCTGAAGTTGCTGGTGCACTTGCTTTGATCGTCATGGAATTGCGCGATTTGCTAGCGATCGGACCACGAGTCTGACACCTGCCTTATGTGGCATGGTATGTCATCGAAGAAATCCAGTCCTAACTGATGGGACCGTAGGATATTGCTGTGATCGGCAAGGGCATAGTAGTATAATTGTAGTGTATGATCTAATCCATAGTGGCTGCTCGTTACTGGCATTCGTGGACGGAAATGGAAATATAATAGCTTGCAGTGTGGGACACATATTCCTCCATTCCATCTCCTAATCAAGAATTTTTTCAGCTGAATTTATCGGAGGTGACCGCTTTCCCTGAAAGTCAATGCACCAAACCAGCTTGTGTGGAGTCGATGACGTGGTCACCGGACGGCGCAGTACTCGCCGTGGCTATGAATGATGGTCACTTTCACTTGATTGAAGCGGAACAAGGCGTCGTTAGATGGTCAAGAAAGTGAGTGGTGATTTTGCAACTGTTCGGACCTTGATAAGTCTTAGAATTGAGAGGGCACAGCGTGCGTATCAATGTGTAGCACGAGTTGGCCTCCTGACGCCGCTCTCTTTTCCTCACGCAGCACCTGGCACTCTATTCGACCACAATCTTTCCATGTTCTGTCTTCACTCATATTGCAACATTTGGTCGTCCCAATGCCCGTGCTGAGCGAAATGCTCGATCAATCGCCGTCTTGACCATCATCATGCAACGTCGCATAGTGATCTCTTGTTATACACCGCTTCGGAAACTGCTCTCTATTGTTCAGCTAATTCGTATATAGTGCAAGATTACCGGGAAATTGATGTTTATGTTAGGAGTCGTTTCCAGACACAATAAGAAGACGCCGTATTGTTTTTAAGGCTTGGTCAAAACTCTCGTGCTCAACAAATGCGATGGTTTTGGAGTGGTGAACCTCCAGGTGCTAAATCTCGTCTTAAATGTGATTGGCCACTCGAAGATGAGATGAAGGCAGTGGTGGGTTTCTTCGATTTCCAATCGTAATAGATTTTGTTACTTGAAAGCGACCAGCTTTGCAGTATTCTAACGGAAATCATTTTTCTACGTAGGCAGCGAGTAGTGGAGGGTTGAAACAATTCACCTTCACGTCACATTTTTCGAATGCTTTGTCCAATCTAATAGTCTTGATTTTTCTGTAGAATCTCTGTTGCAGGCGAGTATTTTTGGCAACGGTGACGCTGTCGATGAGCGTCTTGGCAAAAGCTTATTGTACGAAATTCTGTATTTGAAGTCACTGAGGGGCACCATTCTGTTTATGGTATGCGAGCATGTTAGAAAGCCGGATGCTAGAGCAGATTTCTTTTAACCCTTTCAGATACGTGATGATTACGTCGTATTGGCTCTGGCTGGTGGGATTTTACCTCTTTGTGAAATACGACTAATGGAGAAGCTGGGTGAGTTTGGCTTTATATTCCATAGCTTTTTTTCATCTCAGAGTATGAACTTGTATAGTATTGGTGATTTCCGGTTTGCTCTGTTTTTGAGCAGCAGTAAGGAGTATCTTGTCAGGAATGTGTGGAGCTGGAAGGGGGCTTATCGTTTGGGAGAGCGCCTTTTTGAAGAGCGCCCTAGGAAGCCTATTTTGCAAGCTCTAAACTTACTCCTCCAAATGTTAGGTTAAACTTTGTTCAATTAAGGTAGACCTCGGAGCAGGGTGGAATCAGCTCTGATTTACACAAGGAAACTTCGTACATTTCTCCTCTTTTCCCTCTCCCTTCTCTCTTAATATAGTGTCGGTACTTATTGGGACAGAATTATGCACCAATGATCGTGATATATTCTTGCGTTTTCAGCACATCTGAAGCTGGACGTAATCAACATATACGACGTGTTGTATACTCATCGAGATGGGTTGACCCTAGCTGTGACCGACTATGGACCCCGCCCCAAACTTGATGAAGTTGACCGTGACGTAAGTCAAGGAAGCCATATCTGAAAGAATATTTTTCCAGAACGTAGGCCCAGAACTTCTCGTGCTTACTGTAGTCTTACTGGGGTCAGAAACGTCTCTATAATTTGACAATTCTGGCCAAGGGTAGTTATGCGGTCTGCTCGTTCCTTTGCACCTTAGCTCTATGTTCATTAAACACCCTTTCGGGTAGATGATCCGGACTTCCTTCATCAGCTTGAAGGTAAAAAAAAGCATGGCCACTTTATTTAAAACTGCTCGTTTCAGCCAATTTTCACTCGAAGTTCAGCTCGCTTGTCTGGTGAAATGGTTGCAGACCTCCATAGAGGAGAAAGTATTCACAGTGAAAAAGTGAGTTTTCCTGCGATTGTGTTGGCCTTTGAGATTTCCAGCTGGCTGTCTCTAGACCTCAAGAAACGCTGCAGCTTATGTTGTTATAGTTCAAATATTCTCTATCGAAATTCGCCGTATAAGATTATTCGCTCAAGGAAATGTGGAATTTTGCAGAAATTTGGCTCACCTTCGTTCATGGCTGACGCTATAAACTGTCCTCATACCCATCTTATTAATCTTGACTTCAAGCTAGAAAACGAGGAACTTTTATGGGAACTTCTTTTGAGGTTAGTATGTGAATATGATTGTTGGTAAAATGTGGCAGTTCACATCATGATTTAGGTACCTGAAAATGTATCACTGCCTAGTCCATTTGACCTATTCGATGGAATTTGCGAAGAGGGATTGGGAGTCGGAAAGCAAGGCAAGTGTTATGTGTGAATTTGGGAAAAATTTTCCTGATTTTTAATGTGTGATAGTTGGATTGTTACAGCAAAGGAAGTCTTTACACATTTAAACGATCCGCCATTCCGACTCCCTTCACGTTCCCTCCAAGACAATCTACCCTTACATTGTCCTGGGTAGACTGTTTGATAAATGACTTATTCCTATGGGTAGAAGAGTTGACCGATCGTCCTAAATCTATGACTAATCGGAATCAAAAGCTTATACAGCTCCAAGTAGACAGAAAAACTTGAATAACGCCTAGTGGTTTACCGTTTTGCAAGTTGCAGGTATTTTCAGATTTTTGCAAACCGCTTGAACAGTACACCGCATGATCTGCGACTCGGTGATGCGTTGCTGAATAGCCTATTGGGCGGAGCTCCTGGCCCGCTGGCGGAAAGGTATTTTTCTCTATCTCGGAAATTGTTTCCAGCTTCTTTCCATTCGCAGTACTTTAATCTCTTGTGAGCTCTGATTTCATAACCTGGCAGAGATTAATTTCGTAATACTTGTTAAGTCCTATACTGCTAAAAAATGCCTCATCCGATTCGTCCTTCTCGCCTGCTCCTGTGTTCCCAGCGTCGAACGTTATTGCATTGAATTTGAAAGATTATCTTCTGCTAAAGTATGCCCTTTACCTTGCCTGCTATGCACGATAGCGAGCTGAACATCCAGCTGGTTTTCGGTATCGTATATTCCGTGTGAACAGGCCAACTAGCATGGAAGGAGCCTAAAGACAACATTTTTAGGTGGCTCGAAAGAACATTAGGAGCGGCTGGAATCCAGTCGATGCGCGAATTCGTTGAGAAACGATTCAGGTAATAGACTGCAAGCCATTTTCCATATTCTGTTAAAATTCTGTAGCAATTTGAGTTGTTGTCCATTTTTATCCACACGAACTCGATTTCCAGTGGACTGGTGGCAATGTTGCGTGGCCCGCTGTCAGCAGCAGCCAGATCGCTTGCCTTCCAGATGGATCAGTATCGCGAGCTGGTCAAAGAGTTGCAGGACGCCAACACAAATTATGAGTGCGTTTTTTTGGAAGAAATATTTCCGTGAAGTATTGATTGGAGCAATAGAGCTGAGAATCTCAGGGATTCTGGTTCTTATGGAGAACGCCTTTCCCTTCATCTTTGATTGCAGAACTTTGGCTCTGCCTTCGTGGAATGTGACTAGTCGGCCCAGCGAATTCCTTTCAACAGCTAGCTCGGCCCGAATCCCGGATGTGACTGCGGATCATGTATTCGACGCGCTGGATTCGCCCACCTCACGGCTCATCCTTGATCGGTTGCATTCTGGAGGGATCAGAATACAAGCAAAATGCGAGGAGATGACCCAAGCGGCTGCCGGTAATTTGTAAGTTTTTGAACTTGATTTGGAACAAATTGGTTTATCTTATGTATTTCGTTATTTACCGGCTGTTTGGTCCTCGTTCTGTCGGTGACGAAGGTGCCCAAAAGAATGATTTCAAAGAAACATACATATGATAGAGAAAGATGGATATAGGGGGAGGGGGTAGGGCAGTGCTCTAGCAGAAGCAGGTGGCACTTTGCAGCCGAAGGAGCGTCATTAGCGGCGTGATAGGGCACAGAAGGGATCAACGGCCGCGTCGGCCTCGGACACGCCCACAGCGGGCGCACGATACTGAGATAACGGTAATGTACCTAGTATGGAACCGTTCTCGTGATTGTTAAATTTTCTTCTCTTTTTTGTGCACTTTTCAAATTAAAAATACAATTTTAGACGGGAGCTGTCTCAACTTGTACGGTGGATGTCATTATTGACACCGTTGCTGAAGAATACGAAACGTCCTGCTCAAGTTATGGAACAGAACTCTAAATGGGATGTGGCGACTTTGCTGAAGGTGATTATAATGGCTTAGATAATGAGTTATATCGATTGAAAATGTTTTCTAATGAGACACCATTGTGTTTTGTTTGAAAGACTGTTTTGATTGGCGGTTTTGGCTCATCACAAATATTTGAGAAGGCAGAGTTGTGGTGCAGTGCATTTGCGTCGCATTCCTTTTTTGAATTATCCCCTTAATAAGTTCTCATACTTCCATCGTGTTGACGCTTCAGATAGGATAATTTTGCTTTACAATAATTACGAATGGTCATATTTAGTACATCGTTCAAACATTCACCACGGATGGCGATGAACGCGAGCTGCTGAGCCTGTCACTTTTCAAAATAGAGGAGGTTCTGAAGGTGCGATCGCTCGTGAACTTTTTTTGTTTGGTCTGGAAATCTTTTGATTTTTGGATGTTGCTGAATTTCCACTCGACAATCATGGACTTGTTGCAGGAATTACGAGCCGAGGAGACCAAAGAGCATTACTCACACGATGAAATGATTCGAGTTCTTGTAGAAGAAGGTGCTTTGAAAAGGCCTGAGGATGATCGTACGCTAAGCGAGTTGCTGTCTTCTGCTCGCAAGGTAACCTGTTGGATTTATTCCGAATACTCTAATTCATCGGAGATGTCTGTTGGTGGATGATGCTTCGCAAGAGCTAAACGACAAGTTTTTTTGTGTGCAACTCCCGCTCGATATCCTCGCTGCATGTTGGTATTTTTTGGAGTGTTAGTAAGCGGTATTATTGGATGTGAATTTGATAAGATTTCTCCCGACGTTCGGACCGCTTTTGAGAACCATTTGTGACTAAGGACCATTCAGGCTTCCAGTTCTATAAGAATCTCATGCACACAGTGTTCTTCGCAGTGCTTGACCATTTCTACATAGTAGGCCAAAGTTATGAGCACATCGTGTGCACACGCTCATATCCACTTTTTCCTATTCGCCCCATTTCCATCGCCTTTTCTGTGCGCTACGTGATAGGGTACAATGTCATATTCCGATTGAAACCAACATCGCGAAATCTCAAAATCTTAGTGAAAAGCTCCATCACGGTACGTCAGTTCTAAAATTGAACTCACCGGTGGTTTTGGCACGCTACATCGAGGCAGGGGCAGTTCAAGGTAACAGAGGAGCTCTCATGAGCTACAGTTCAACGCTTCAATAAGTTCGGCTCCACAGTGGGAAAGGCGGAGGAATTAGAGATGTTAGGGTTGCCGATCAAGACTGTGATTGAACTGAGATAGAAAATGACTTGATCGCATCGTCTCAGGGTGTTTCATTCCTTATTCTAGTGTCCTGGCTCCGTAGCGGATTCTCCGATGTGTGGACCATCGGACACATCGACGCCGCGCGCAAATCCACCTCAACGTCAGGTTCAGAACGAGTTTGTTCTCGACAAGGTGGGAAAAGCTTTCGTTTGTAGATCATCCACTTAGCGAAAATGGACGAGGTTTTGTGACTGTTTACTTGTTTACCCTCGAACAATTTTGAGTATGTGAAGAAGGTTCAAGGTGAACACGTATTGGTCTGAAGGGATTGGATAAGGAAACTCGGAAGCTGTTGGGCGATCGGTTTGGACTGGAAGGAGTGAAGGATGTGGTCAGTTTGGAAGACAAAACCCTGCTCGATTTGGTAAATGAAGTGACTCGTTGCAAGCCGCGAGTTCGAGTGGTCAGAGCGACGCCAATGTGAAAGTGGTGAGTTGGAGGAACCACTACTTACAGTCCTACTTGTTACCTTTCATTTCACGGTAATTGGTCAGGATGTGTTTGCAGAAATGGATGTACGAGCTCGCGTCGGACGCATCGCATTGCGGGCTTCGATTCGGTCCGACTGTCGGTGTTCAGATGGTCCGACACCAAGGACATGGACGTCTATGAACGAAAGTTGCTGAACGTCAAAGGCAAGGATTTAGAGTAAGTGGCCCTCATTTGTTGGCGTATTAGGGACTAATCAATGATTCAGGAAGTTTGCATGGTGGAACAAAAAGTATCAAATAAAATACCACGTCGTCCCAGGCGAGCCAGCAAGGTCGTTACATCTTATTCCTTCCGCGAGCCTGATCAGTAAGGTCTATCTTTACGAGTCTCAGCTCTTTCTTTGGTTGCCTGCCCTTAAAAAGCCCAAGTGCTGTCTTATCGGATGATTCTGGTCTCCTTAACACATGCACATTCACCGTGGTCGTTGTGCCCGCACGTCCAACTGGACAGGGGCGGTCAGGCGACCGCTCTGATATACTCTGTATCACCGTCCAACATCGCTGTTACGCCGCCAACATCTCACAGTCTCGATCTCGGCGAATGAGATTTAGCCGCTAATTCTTGTCAGGGCCAGCGCTCGAGTGTCTGCTATAGCATCCGATGCTATTGCTACCTTCTGCTACACCCGTTCCGTTACGTTCTAGGCATCTTCGATCACACGCATCCCAGCGTTTCATTCATTTCATCTATTGCAGCTTGATCTTGCTATACCCGGGCCATCAGGATCGCCCTAAGGCATGGAAGTCCTCCATCAGTCTTTCCATTGCGCATTTCCCCACAGGTGCCGCATCGAATCTGCTACCCTCTTCAGAAGCTCAAGTTCGGTTTTTCTACGTTCACACCGCCCCCCCCCCTCTGTCCAGTATTCCGGCCATTATTGCACTCCTGTTCGTGGAGTTGCTACTCTGCCGGTCTTTTTTTAATTACATTTTTAAGAGGGTGGTCATGCAGGAAGTCAGCGTATAGTAATTGGTCCTCGTGTGTTCTTGATGAGCCTCGCTATTGACATCTGTGTCAGGAGGATACGACGGTGGCTCAGAGCCTAAATCTTGTCGTGCACTCCATCTGTGAAGCCTACCGCCTTTGTTAGGCAGTGTGGCTGCCTTAACCTCATCGTACATATTTTTCACGGACAGATCAGGTGCTCTGGACGTTCCATTCCCTGGGCTGTTTCCATACTTTCTGAGATGAAAGGTCGAAGGTCTTTTCAGATCGAGGAAGGCCAGATAGCAGAGAGCAGCTCTTCGTCGATAACTCTCCATCACTTGCCACACGGCCCGGCGAGAATATTGCATCCGTCGTGGACTTTCCTCGATCAGGACTTCTTCTATTATCCTCAGAACTGTGCAATCAGCTTTAACGCGCTATTCTGAATGCGAGATGCTAAATCTACAGTGAGGACGACACGGCGTTAGCCAGAATCCACTTTGTACGGAGCAGCCGTCTGCAAGCGTGTCCACCCCATGCCATGTCTGGCCGAACTTCAGAACTAAATCTCTTTGTATGGGGTTGATGTCCTGAAAGCGCTCGTGCCCTACAGTTATCAGCAAAAATCAAGTGTAATGTTACAGAGGCGCGATTTGTGCGAGCACAATCTGTCGTGATGGCCTCGCATGTGAGTGCCTACTGCCTCGTGGAGTCGGAAAGCTTGCGAGCCGGAGTTCAGCCAGAGATGACCGTCTCAGTACCCATGCAACCAGGAGTGCGTTCTTCGTAATTATTGTACCCTTGACAAATTATTTTACGAAAGAATTTTATTTTAAGGGTTCAGTAAGAGAAAACATACTCCGAGTAGCAAACGAACCAGACACAGCTGCCCAAACAAAATAACGATCACAAGCGAAGCAGGCCGAGCATTGACAGATAGATGAACAGATGAGAGTGAAATATCATTTTCACAACGGAATCTTTTTGCCGACAAAGAATATCTATTTCGGCACCAATGAGACTATTTCAGCAAATCGGACACAAACAAAACAACTGTCGGAAAGACACCAAGTTTCTATCGGTGGAGATGTACTCGGGTGGCCACGTTTACGCTCTGTAAGCCACCTTTTTTAAAGTTTCACGCGTACTCATCGTTGATTTTTGTATGGTTCCTTAAAACTGACTATTATTTTATTGCATGCACCTTAAAGGCAAACCCCGGGTGGAGGTCACTGGGTCTGGGTTATCCGTCCGCTAGGCAGGATAGAGTTTCGTCGTCGTTAGGCTGCTTTCATAGTTCGCATCGGTGCGGTCGGTGCCGACGGCGCCGACGGCCGACCGCACGACAGTGTGAAGAGCGTCAACACGCGCTCTGGCGCATGACGCGTGCGCTGGGCGCAGATGGGGCGCTCCGGTCGATAATCTTGGTTTTGGTGTATTTCTTGTATTTTTTCGATGTTTTTTTGCACTCACTTCATATGAATAAACAAAATTGCTTACGACCAACACACCCGGTATGGCCACATCCACCCGGAGTTGTGCGACGGGTTCACGACGTCGCTCGCCCGCGGAACAACTGGAAAGTATTAATCAAGACATAAAAGGGCGCAATGTGGCTCGGAGGGGGGGGCAGCCGCGCGCGGGGCGTTGCGGCAACAGGAAATTCGCAAGCCAGGGGGAGTGTAGCCAATTCAGGGGGGGGGGGGGTGAGGGCAGTCACTTAGCATGCGTGAGAAGCTGAAATGTCCCGTGAAAAGCTGGAATGTTCGAGTTACACTACATCGCTGAGCCGCGCACCGACTTCCCCCCCCCCAGCCACATTGCGCCCATAAAAGAATAAGTATGAACAGGAAACACACGAATTAAAGCAACACGGCGCGAAAAAAACATCGAAAAGCACAAGAAATACACCAAAACCAGGATTATCGATCGGAGCACGCGATCTGCGCCCAACGTTCGCGTCATGCGCCAGAGTGCGTATTGACGCTCTTCACACTGTCGGTGCGGTCGGCGCCGTCGGCGCCGTCGGCACCGTCGGCACCGACCGCACCGATGCGAACTATGAAAGCAGCCTTAACCCTAAAGCGTGCGCAGCTGGAGGGTGCTTTCATTACACCGCTCCCGGCTACCAGTGATTGTCTTGGAGGCAGCTGCTTCTCTGTGCCCTCTCCCTTGAACGCCATGCCTTCTCGAGTTTTCTATCTTCTCTGCTCGCTTTAAATTTCCGCCGTAGCATACCCGACCTCACAAAAGCGTAGGCCCACAATTTCGGTGCTTTCGATAAATTCTTTTGCTTTTTTTTCACTTTTAGCTCTCATGCAACTCCCGATCCCCTCACTTAGCACTGCTACATACCACACTTGTCCCGTGGCTTGCCTTTAAACCAACAATTTTATCGGTAATGCCGGTATGAAGGCTTTTTGACCCTGTTATCATTGTTTGTTGGATATTCATCAAAGGGTAATGTAAATGTTGAGGTTTTATGGGGAGAGGTGTGTAGATCTCGCTAGGTTATGTTCTCACTTCGTTCTGTGTTCTAGGCGACCTTCAAATCAGAGGCTGGCGAGATGAACCGTCTGATGCGGAAGCATCCCATGATGGAGGCGTGGTTTGTGCATAGCGTGAGTGTTTCATTCCCTTCTGGAGGTTTTGTAGCCCATTGAATGTAGAAAGCTATAGTCATCAAATCTTTCAGGGATTGACGTCAGAAGCATCCGATTCGGCGAGCCTGTCAGCAGATCGCCAACAAGGCTGCATTGTTTCAGAAGAAGGCTCCCGGGTAGCGCTGTTTCGCGTCCAGAATTCACCAGCGGACGAGCAGCCACAGTCGCTGCTGACTGAAGCTCCGGTTCATCGCCCAGCTCTTCAACTGCTCACACATCACACTCGATAGTTGCTGGTATCCCTTCATATTTGCATTTGTTCTCATGTTTTTTCTATCTGCTAGCATTGCTCATTTTTATTACGGTGAATTTGCATAACTGAAAGTTACATGGAAGAAATCGTCCCTCATTACAATGAATAGCATTGTTTATTTCAACGGTTGAGAACCGGTTGCATTCTGAGCTTCACCTCGTGTATTTGTAAATTTGTGAGTCTAACATAACAAAATTGCATGAGGTTCGCCACTCGTTTTTTCTTAGTTCCGAGCGGTCTTAGTGTCAAACTCCACCCCTTCGGGTTACGCCCCTCCCAACGATGGTAACCTCTATCTTTTGCCGACCTCTATCCATCTCCTGTCTCTGGGACTCAAGACTCGCCCCGCCTGTTGTGTGCAAGCCTCCGCTCATGTTAAGCGTGTTTTGAGCAATTGGAACATTGCTCTTGAGCATCGATTCTTTCTCCTGTGTAAGCCTTCTCATAGCCAAGTTATGATTTTTTAAGGCGCCGCCCATTCAGATATATTTATCCCGCCGCAGACCCTCCTTCAACCAACCAATTCGGTGCAGACTTTCACTCATTTTTTGATCTCTGATGTGTTCTAGAATCAAACACTAATTTTGCCGCGGGCACCGCCTAGCCCGGTACATGCCCGCCTGTCGTGGGGAGGCTTCGCTTCACTAATGTCACCCAGACATCCCGTCGTGGGAGGGTTGGGAGAGGTGAATGTTGGCCTAGACTTTAGTTCAAAACTTCAGACAAAAGCGCATGGTCGCTCTCAGCACAATGATAGTCGGTTGACTAAGTTTTTGGACCATCTTCGAGATTTCCGCTAAATTGCTAAATCTAGATTTTTTCATGCATCTGACAGGTATTTTCCGCAAATCTCATGTTCTTCCTTTTCCCCCATTCCGCGCATGAATTGCATGGTTAGGTCTGTATAATTTGCAGATCGCGCCATTCCATTTACTTTACTTTGATGCATGCAATTTAGTATGAGACGTGTTTGGCATTTTGCAAATATTTGTTTTATTATGTGACGTTATCAGACACTGCTTTTATTTGTGTATAAATTCAATTTTTTTGTTACCGTTGTCAAACTTCAGTTTCGATAGGGAAATGGTGTAGTTTGTGGGGAGAAACTGACAGGTGCACTTACTTTTAGAAAGTCTTTTGTGTTCAGATCGAATCCACTGTGAAATTCTCCCTGATCAGTTGCTACTCGCTAAGGGTGGCATCAATGCATTGCTTGTGTCAGATTTGTCGAGCTCAGAGTGTAGTTACCATCCAGATTCTTTCATAACTTTCCCCTATCACATATTATTTGGTAAGGCAAAGGTACCAGCAGAGCTGTACATTGTGTCGCAGGTTCAAAAAGCTGGAATGAGCAAACAGTCGAGCGTATAAGGAAGAGGGGTGAGTTCTTTCCATTTCTGTGGATTTTACTTACATTTTTTTCTTCACATATACCTATTTGTATCCATTTTCATTAGTCTGGACGCTTCATTGATTATCTCAAACCAATTACTTCGTGTGGCTTACGATTTACTGTCTGAATACTTGTAGAGGTGCAGTAGCACAAAATAACTTGCGCTGTTTCTAAGCGGATTGTATGTTCCTGCCGCAGCCAGATTCCTCTATTCTGTCGGGTTGGGTGGGCTTTGGTCACTGTGAGGCTTATGTAGGGTCATAAGAACTTGGATGCCCGACAGTAAGTCCGTCGCGCTGCGAATAGGCAGAGACACAGACGGGTCAGCGGACGAGTCGCAGCGCGTGCTGCGTGATGTGGGGCGTACTGTAGTACATTATATTGGACTTGATGCAAAATCACTGCAGTACGCGCTGCAACTCGTCTGCTGACCCGTCTGCGTCTCTGCCTTCTCGCCGCGCGACGGGCCTCTTGTCGGGTACCTAACGAAGTTCTGTCCGGTTCACATTCAATTGTTTAGCTTTGGCAAGCTTCCACTTGTCCCCAATTTTTTTGTATGAAACAAAATATCGCGTGAACAGCGTGTTCTGAATGCCTAAGCTTCTCACACTTTTTTAGCTGCCGTTCGGCTAATGGTAACCGTAATTTGAGAGAAGAATTGGGAGATTGTTTGTCGTATAACAATCAGTTTACACAAAATATTTAACATAAACAGCTTAATGTCTCAAATTAACAACAAAACGAAAGGAGAGCACCTCGGGCGCTTCAGTAATTAAACAACAGACCAGGAAGGTATTGATTTTGAGCAAAATAAATACAAATAGGTGAGCAAGTAAGAGTTCCAGAGTAAAAATCACAACGATTGGAGCAGATCTGGATCACAGGGAATCAATACACGGTAATACTAGTGGCACTAAGGAGGCAGCTAAGCTTGACGTTGGTTAGTTGCCGCCAAAATTACACTGAAAGCTGGCGGGATCCGTGACACCACTACGCATTCCCCCTTGGTGTGCTGCCTTTTTCCAGAAAAGGAATAAATCAAGGCGAAATGGGAATGGCTATCAAAATATCCCACCTTCATTAGCATTTCAAAGGCAGCTAACATGACTGCTGGAGGGCGATGCGGTTTTGATGACGTCATCGGACGTCGTTAGATCTCTCAGCGCGCTGGGGGCGTGGTTTAGAACGCCTCCGATAGCCATTCTGCTACGTCGTCAATCGCGCCACCCTGCGGTCATCGTGATCACTGCCTTTAAGTCGATTTGGTTGCTCGATTTGGAAGTACTCTATTTTACATCTATTCAAATACCAGCAGCTAAACACAATTACACAATACAAGCTAAACTTGAAAGCAAAAAGCTAATTTGAACGAGAATGGTATGGCATAGTAAACCACGCAAGATTCGTTTATGGGTGAGATCAATGTAGCCAAAAGGATAAAGTGGCGTGTAGCCGCTGTTGTACCGGTGTTTCCTCGTTTCTGGAGCCCGAGAACCATACCTCATATTTTCCGAGTCAGAGGTGCCAAATTCGTTCCGAGATGGACCCTCTCCCTATTTCACTCTTTCACACATTCGTGGAATGTCGTCATGCAATTTGCACAGAACATGCAGGTGAAAGGATCCGGTTGCTGGGCGCGGGTGTAGGTGACTCGGCCGCTTACCTTAACGGAAGGAGCATACAATGCCTGCAAAAATAAGCATGAATTTGAAAGACGAACCGCGTCGAGGCGTTCTTTTCGTATGCGACACACCGCCGTCCAGGTATGGAGCGGGTTGGCGCCGTTGAGCATTCGTGACGTCAACTGGTAGGCGGCGAGCTGAAAAGTTTTCCGGGCTGCTCATTGTATACGAGATGGTCTTTTTGCAGCGAGTGATGAAATGTAAGCTGAAGAAAGTTGGTTTTCTGGATAAATGGAACGCGCTTCAGCAAATGGTTACCCTCAACACTATCGGTGGAGCATAGCGTCTCTGAAATTCCAAAAAAAACGCAATCAGACGGAGTGGCAGCTGTCTTTCCGCCTCCGACTTCTGCTTCGTTCATTTGGATAGCTGAATGTGAATATTTATCATCAATACGCGGGTGGTTGTAGAGCACAGGGTCTAAGAGGAGGGAAAAGTGCCAAAGGTGAAGATCAAGCTTTTTTCTATAGTTGAAGAGTTCAGAAAGGAATCTACTGAAAAGGGCCTAACAAAAACCATTGCGACGAGACGAGCACAAGAACAAAAACCACTGCGACTCGGGACGAGCAAAGAGAACTCACGCGACTTCCTCGTTCACCTCCACCATGAAGTTGAAGATGGGTGTAGTGATTGCAAGCTTCTTGATAAAGCGTTCGATAATCGGCTTGGGCTTGTTGGCACCAGTACGGAACTTGCGGTTCGAGGTCCTGACGCCAAGCGTCCAATAGCGACGACATCACCCATTCGTATGCCAAGCGACGTAGTGTGCTCTTAAGATTGATAGTATTTGTTTTGTTCAACTTGGAAATACCCGTCAGTAATGAAACTCTAAAAAGCTCCTAGAGACGAGTAAGCTTCTCACCTGCAATTGGCTTACTTCTGGAGCAGCGTCACGCGCACAGGCCATGCGCAGCTCTTCAAGTGCCTTGCGTGAGTGAGCGAAGACGAATTTGCCAAAATTCACATTGTCCCGGTCGTCGATGCACAACTTTCGACAGCAGAATGCATGGCCGAGTGCGAGTGCCAAAGGACTGGAATCAAAAGGTACTATGACAGCTCACGGCTCTCTGCGTCAATCACATGACAGTTTTAGCTGAACTTACTTGTTTAGCAGCTCCGGTGGACATCGCCTGACCACAGCATAATGCTGCTTGGCCTTCTCACGCATCCCCTGCTTCCAGAATAAAGCACATGTGAAAACATGAGTCCACCACGTGCACATTGCGTCGCCTTCAGTGAGCGTCGTGGCGCAATCTGAAGGTGATAATTAAAGCATCGTCGTACACATTCTGAATGAAGTCTGGAAGTTTTATTTCAAAGTCGTGGCGTAGCCAAATGTAAAAGTTACAGTTTGGTGTAACGAACGTCACGGGTTAACCAGTGACTCACCCCAACTGTTCTCCTTTTTTGGCAGACCATTCGCCATAGAGATGCTGACAAGAAGGCGGGACACGTCGACGACGTCAATCTCCTTGGCACTGTCTTCTCCACTTAGTTCATTTGCCAGTAAAGTCAGCAGCCGAAGTTTGAAAGCGGCACGAAGCCGTGACAGCACGTCACCTAAGACGAAACCATTAAGACGTTCCCAGAAGAAGAGGGTGAGACACATCTAGGTCGGGTTGGTGATCCTGGATGACTGGGCGAAATGTGAAAGAAACCAACCGTCACATTCGCCGATAATTGGTGTCAGGGAAGATTTCTTGGCACTCAGCACGGCCCGGACTGCTTCCGCGTCCGATAGAAATTCTCGAGATAACGGATGGAACACCCAAAGCAGACC